AATTTGAAAAAAGTTACTTTCTTAACATAAATTTCAGTTATTGTATAAGAATTACGTGGTTAAAGTGTTCAATCTTTTGTATATAGTTTTTATAACATTGTGGAAGATGTGTCTCCAGATATATTTTTGATCATTTACTTTTCTTAAACAATCTTTGAATAAATCTTCTACTGTTATTTCGTAATAATAATATAATAATATACAAGTGTCACCCACGTCTTACACATGTGGAAATATACCGTGTAAAATTGTGCCTTTAAATTTATTTTCCTTGAAAACTTGTTTTCATTCTACACACATATATATGCACATGCATTTTGATGTATTCCAACTCAAGTACTCTTCTCGTGAATTATACATATAGAAACTTATGAATAGAGATAATATGTGCGTTTGGACACTTTTAAAAACAAGATGCTTTCAGTAATTCGTGTAACATTTCTTCAATGTTTAATACGTATCTTTGTGACTCTGGTAAAAATATATACATACATTTCGATCGAGTTGAAGCTGTAAGTTGATATTATTTTATAGTTTAAAGATTACAAAAATATCTTCTGCATTTTTCATATAAATACAAACATTAAATGGATGTATGGTAATTTTAATACACTGAATTGACAATTATTTTACATTTAATAGTGATGAAGCTGGAGATTATGTAGAATATATTCTATAGCGCTAATACATTTGGGTTTAGTTCGAAGGAAATAAAAAAATAATGATGATGGAAGGAAGCGGAATTAAATACGGTTTTGATGTATGATAGGCTGTTTTTTGAATATCAGAATACATTATATTTTAATATTTTGTCCATAATTAAGGAAGGTCCCCTTCCTAAATCGCTCGGACTGCTGTTTTATTATTTTTTGTTTATCCTGCGATATCTGACTTACTTATGTGCTAGCAGCGCCCCAGATAAATTTTGAATTATTTTTTTACAGAATGCAGCATCAACATTTTGTGATGACAAAAAAAAGGAATTTAACTAATTATATGTTATTTTATTATTTAAAAAGGTGAAATTAGGCACAGGATTAATTTAGCAAACTAAATCAGCAGATGTAGTTGTAATAAACACGAATAATGACATTACAACTTTTATTTTCTTTACACACAAAGCCCCCCAATGGCACAATGTTATGTCTGCGGACTTATACCGCTAGAAACCGCTTT